CCCTCCTTCTTTGGGGGAAGGCATGCTGAGGATCTTCGCTGTCCCAAAGTCGGTAATCTTACGTGCATCTGGTGTCAAAAGAACATTTTCTGGCTTAAGATCTCTGTGGATAACTCCACGCCGGTGCATGTATCCAATGGTATCCAAAATCTGAGCTCCATAGAACCTTGTGCATTCTTCATCAAAGGTGCCCATCCGTTTAAGAACGCCAAGGAGTTCGCCACTCCCTGCAAGATCGAGCACGAAGTATAACGATCGCTCATCCTGAAAGGTGTAGTATAGCCGGACAACTCCAGGGTGATCGGTCAGGCGATTCAGTGTATCCTTCTCGATGTTTACGTATTTGACCTTCTTCTCCTTTATTATGTGTCGTTTATCAAGGATCTTGATGGCATATTCCTTGAGGGTCTGGCGGTCCGTGGCGGCAACAACCTGACTGTAAGAGCCCTCACCGAGGGTGCGGCCGAACACAAAATCTCTGACTCCCTTTTTCACATATCTCGCAACTGGCTTTCCATTTGCATCGATCTCCTGCTGCACGCCCACTGCAGCTCCACGCTCCTGCCATTCCTCCGAGCTATGAAGGGGAGCATTTTCGTTGCCATAAGAGGCTGAGACAGCAGGTATAGATGTGCTCGGAGCTCTGCGGGAACTCTGTCTAGGCGGTAAGGGAGCACCGCCACGGAAGACCTTTGTTGGTGCATAGGATCTATCGGTGTGTCCTTCGTCTCGAGGAAGGACGCCGGCCTGGAGAGCTGCAGAACCACCACGAGAGTCGATCCTGGACGGGTATTCTGTAGCAGACACGGATGAATCCGTTCGAAGGCGGTAGGGTTCACCACGCGGAGAGGGTTGGTGGTTGGGCGGAAGACAGACCGATTGACGGCTGGGATGATGAGACATGTTGAGTTGTACGTTGGACGGGAGCTGCGACGGCGAGTTTCTCGAGTAATCGTGGAGATTTGCATTCGAGGCTGATGCTTGCTGCGCGGGGCTTGGACCAGTCTCTACTAATCGATTGCCATGCTGGGACTGTTCAGGGGAAGCTAGAGCTCCAGGAGCATCTTGGCCCATGGAAGACAATTTCAGGGAGGAGCTCGAGGGGCCCTCTGAGGTATTTGTAGAGGCATTGTCCGGATTGGCGATGCGTAGCCCGCCGAGGGACTGAGAAAGGCTCAGATCTCCATCCATATTCACGAGACCGCAACGTAAGAGGGGGATAGTCAGAGCGAGCGTGGGTGGAATGCGGGAAGCCTGATGACGGCCCAAGAGCGAAAGACAAGAAGTAAAAGCAAAGGTGACTGATTGTTGGCAGCTATCAGGCGTATGTAAGTGTGTATGTATGTATGCAAGTGAACAAGTGAGCAAGCAAGCAAGCGCAGAAAGCAAGGTAACCAGGCAAGCTGTCTCACAGAATCGAGACTATGCCGGTTACTGGCGAGGTTGACAAGTGCATGGCAGGGCGACGTGAATAGAGGAGGACTGGGTTCTTCAATCCGTCTTCCTCTGTTCGGGAGATGTCGGTTTTCTTTATATGCCCAGCCGAAACGAACGCGAGGCTGGCGAGGAGCTAGAGAAGGCTACCTGAGGGCGCGCAAACCAAGGTGTCTCGTTCCCGGGCGATGCTTCTTGCGAGCGAGCGAGCTGCAGGTCCGTGGTGGATGTCGTTTTTCGGCGAGCAGGACTGGTGGCAAGAGGACAAGCAGCGAGAGACGAGCTCTGAACAGGCAGAGGAGGCTCTCAGCGTCTCTGTGATGCGGCCACTGCTTCTCAGGCACTTGTATCTGCGACTCCTGCTTGTCTTCTCGGGGTCAAACGAGCGTCTTCTGCGTTTTCTTTTCTTCTTCTTCTTCTTCTTCTTCTTCTTTTTCCTCCTCGTCGTCTTTTCTTTGATGTTCAAGGAGACTTTAGAGGTTCTGGAAAGGTCTGCTTAGGTAATCACCAAGCTCGACATGAAGAGAGACGAAGACGAAGGCGAAGACGATGATGATAGCTAGGACGGAGAGACTAAGAGACGAAGAGACGAAGAGAAAGACATGAGAAGGCTTGGAGAAGCCAACGGCCAGCAAGGAGCCGCCTCTCTCTCCCTCCGCAATTGGACACGTCTCGAGAGCGGCCGGGCCATGTACTCCGATGGCTTGCTGCTCCCTAGTCAGCGATCAAGGAGGCGCTGCATTGCCGGAACAGCCAACAGCTTCGTAAGACTGAGAGCAGAGCTATTTAAAGCCAGCATGTCTCAGGACGAAGAGCCGACTTACATGACTGGCGTGCGCGTTGCCAGTCGTCAGATAAGACATACGTCTAGGAGAGAAAGCCGAGCAACGAGCAGGCAGACAAGCGAGCAGGCCGACTCTCTGGCTTTCATCCATCGGTGGCTGAGTACCACAGATGACGATGTCTCTGCTGCATGGAAACCGGGAAAGCAGGGTCTGTCAGAAGCATCTGCAGCATGTCATGATGCAGACTCAGTGACCACAGCGGTGGATAACTAGATATGCTATCATCCTCTGCATTATCTGGCCGGTTGAGATCAAAGCTGGGATATGATGCGTGCCGTTTGCTCGGCGCCTTCACGACGGGCTTCAGTTTTGATACCCTGGCCATTCCCGTGTCGAGGCTGTCGGCGAGCCTGGAGATACCAGTAATAGTTTCTCTTTCCAGGAGAGGGCTACCCAGGCCGATTTCTTCTTTACAGGCTGTCAGCTTGCTCCTGATTGCGTATGAAGGGATGCCATTTTGATACCACACATATATATATACACACATTCTCTCTCAATAAGGACTTATCCTCTGCATTCCTTCAACTTTATACTGTGGCCATGAAGGAGACACCCTAAACAGCAACCATGTTAGTCCATCATCTTCTATATCTGGAGATAAGGATGGCTTCACCACTGAGATCTTCATAGTAACAAGAGTAGCCATGGCCAGGCTGCAATACAGGGGCCTTGATACCAATCATGTCTATAGAATCTGTTAAACATTAGCCAGAAAGACATCCAAGCCAGAGTTGAGCAAGTAGCTTCCATTATGCTATCCAAGTAGGTGATAGTTACATGAAGAAGAAGAAGAAGAAGAAGAAGAGAAGAGAAAAAGTCCAAGTTCTCTGGATAGAAATATCACAGGCTCCCGACGACTAAGCGATGTCTCCCTTATCACCTTTATGCCCCTTAACTACATCTTCTAATCACTATCTCTGCTCAGTCCGGATGGGCCTTTTTTGATATCAGGGTGGGGGTTGTCACTACTTGCTTCTCCCTTCTTCTTCTTCTTCTTCTTCTTCTTCTTTCTTTCTTTCTTTCCATGATTTGCATCTATATAAACTTCTCCTCAGCAACTCCAGCCCTTTGCTATATCCTGCCTTGTACTATTCTACAACAGCACCTTTCAAATACCAAGCAGATCCTCTTTTCTATATTTCTCTTTGAACATGGACCCTGATTTCGTTCATAGACAGTTCCCAACTTCTTATCTGAGGACAATGTTGGGCTCAGAAGTCCACTTTAGGGTCGAGAATCTCATCGAGGATACAGCGCTGCATACCGCAGTAGAAAACCATATCACTAACCAGCTCATCGAGAGACAGCAGCAGCAGCAGCTTCCAACCTGGCAGGCTGTAGATGGCCGTCGAGAACTCCAGCACTGGCTGAGAGCGCCGCCATCACTTACGCCTGGTCCGCTGTGTACTCCCCCATCTGCGTCCTCGGCAGAGCGAGAAGGCTCGCCAAAGCCAGCAGACGATGGCCAGACTCTCTGCACAACTGCTCCTCCATCGACTCTCTCTCCGAGTGAAATCGACCGCAGAGGCCAGCAGATCATCCTCCAGATCCTACAGACACCAGTCTCGCAGGAGGAAGCTGATTTCCTCCGTTCCTTGCCTGTATATACTCCTCCTCGCTCATCCTCAGGGGACCAAGATTTCACCTTATTCCCACCTGCTCTAGCAGAAGGGGAAGCAGAAGGAGAAGCAGGAAGAGAGGAAGAAGAACCGCCAGCGAAAGAAGCGAGATCAACAAACTCTCCTCTGGTAAGCAAGTCTACGCTGTATTCTATCTATTTGCTGTTTATATCTATGCATGGCTGCTCAACCAGTCTTCCCTACATTGTCGTTTTAGAATGATACTCGCCTGCCGCCTTCAACAAGCCCTGTCAGTCGCTCAGTATCACCAAACACTCTCACTCTTAAACCCCTTCAGTTCAATACGGCAACAAACAGCTGGCCTCTGCCGCCTATTGAGTCTGTTACTCGCTTGTTCTGGGACCCGATTCGTGATGCGTTTCGAGAGCAAGTTCAGGTGGAAAAGATGGTGCGTCAGGAGAACATATTTATATGGATGTGTTTGGGTTGGGAATGCTAACTTAATCCCTGGGCTATATAGGAGGATACGGAAAATTGGTTAAGGGGCCTACCAAATGTCGATGAGATGCTGGAGCCAGAGAGTTGATCAACGTCCATTCTTCACTCCTCCAAACGTCGTACGCATACCAAGAGTAGGGATTCAATCTTTTCAACATTTTCAACATTTGCACCATTTTTCAGGACCTTCCAAGGCCTATACCCACGGGTTAATTATATATTCAAACGAAATCTACTGGTCAAGCTAGCTATGTTCTGGGACGGAAAGTGAGCGGGAGGTAGTTAATAGATCAAGTAGAACGAGGGTGTCTTAATTTATTCCTTCGAAATCTATATGGCTGTGTTCAGCATCGTCTTTCCACTTTCTGTTCAGGCATTCGTCCATCTTTCTATGTATTAGCTAGCCCCTTGTAATATCTAGCTTGTCTTTCCTTTCTCTCATTCTTTCAGCCATGTAAAAAGTCATTAAAAAAAGAGCAAACAACAGAAAAAAAAAAAAAAAAGCTCTTTTCCCTCCACGTCTACATCCTTTCCGAATAGAGCCGAAGTACTCAGAAACTCCTAAGAGTAGCTAGCCGTGTATCTAGCCTAGTTCTTGGCTCGGAGAGCAAAAACCTGGGCACCGTCAACAAGTCTGCGCTCATTGTTTTGGCGGCCGTTGACGAAATCAGGGTAGTTCAGGGTCATCTCCACAGCGCCGTTGATGATATTATCCACGGCTTCAACACCGAGCATGAACGAATGATCCTGGTTACCGACCTCGTATCTCCAGCTACCAAAGCGGCCACGGGAGTAGATACCCTGTTCCAAAAGTTTAGGCAGGAGTTGGGTGAGAACGCCTTCTCTCTCGAGGGTCGGCGTTGGGTAACCGTGGTCAAAGCGGCGGTGGTAAGTAGAGACAATTTCGTCAGTGGGCTTGAGCATGGAGGTGTTCACGAGACCCTGGATACATTCTGCGAGCAATTTCTCGTTGTCTACGGGTTTCATTGAAGACTCGGAGACCTCAAGCATGATGGACCAGTAGGGACCAGGCTTGGAGGAGGAGTCGATGGGTCTGGAGCCATCAGCAAGCTGCTGGGTTGGGAGGGAAGTAGAAGCCTCAGGGCAGTTGTTGGGAGAGTAGTTGGAGAAGATGGTGGCTCTGTAGAATGGGCAGTTGTCCTCGGGGAAATACAGCTGTCACATAAAAGTCAGCACTGTAAATTTTCTACACGTAGCACAAGATAATGTAGCCAAAGGAACTTACCCAACACTTGTCTCCAATTCTTTCTGGTCGTTCGCCTCTGACACCAACACCGATGACGTGGGTGGAGGAGTAGAAGAGTCCCTTGCTGAGGCTAATCAGCTGCTTGTCACCCATGGATTCAGCCAAAGCATCGACAGCCATGGTAGAAATAAGCTTCTGGTATTTGATAACGGATCCATCGGCTAGAGTGACGGACTTGTTGGCAGCGTCGACCTTGGTAACAGCCGCATCCTTGCCGAAGCGCTTCTTCTCCTTCGGGAGAGTGTCGGCAACAGCAATCCAGATGCCGCCTGTACCACCACGGGCCGGGAAACGGAACGTAGCATTGGGTCCCCAGTTTCCGGCAGTCTTCTGCAGAATAACGTTTGTTGTGACAGCTTTGAGGTTTGGTGCAGCTACACGTTCACCGAGCCAAGCGCATTGCATCTAAAAAACGGTTAATACTATGTCTAGGCTCAAAAGATAACAACAACAGGTTTTTTTTCTTCTCCTCACCTTTGTAGTAGGAACAGCCCAAACTTTGAAGTTGTATGGTCTCATGAATAAATCAGCAATTCCAACTCCCATCATGCGAACGATCCATTCATCAAAGTCCTTAGGCTTAGTGTTTGCCACGCGAGCCTCCATAGCGGCGTCAATCATGCCGTCGATACATTTCACTTGTTCCTCCTTTGGAAGCATGGAGATGTTGTTTTGGAAGGGGTATGGCACCCAAGCCTCCTTGCAACGGACATAGGAGATACGCTGGTGGGTGTACCAGTCATCAGGCTTAGGGAGCGCCTCATCAATGCAGTCGTCGAAATATTTGTAGTGGGAGAAGATGACATGACCACCGACATCATATAACTGAAAACGCGAGATGAGTTAGCTTCTGGTTGGTAAGACGGTGTTAAACAGGGGGCGGCGTACGAAGCCCTCAGGGGTAACATCGGTTGAAGCTAGACCACCCGGAACCTCGTTCGAGTCAACTATCATCCAGGATGGCCCATTCTAGTAGATAATAAGAGCGTCAGCAGTTAAATTCAATTAAAGCTTCCCAGAATTTGTTATAGCTTAAACCCACGATCTGGTTCAATCTCTTTGCGGCACCTAAACCAGTAGGGCCAGCACCAATGACAAGGATGTCAACGTTACTACAAACCACAAAGTACCAGTCAGAAAAGGTCAATTAAAGAGAATCAAGACCGCAAATGCAGGATTTCAACTTACGCGTCCGCTCGAGGCATGGCTGTAGCTGGAGTCGAAGGTGTAAGCTACTCGAGCTCTATCTCTTGATAGCGGGGGCGTAGAGGAAGCTCAACAGTCTCCACTGGAGGGAAGGAATATGGCGCAAAACAAAGGAACAAATGCACAGAGGAGCAGGGCAAACTAGAGCACGACGAAGCAGTTAAAGAAAAAAAAAAGAACAAGAGGCGAATTAGCAAGCAGAGAGGCCGAAGACGAAGAGGTTCAGAGCCTGCTCGTCGTTCGTCCAAAAACTCCCCCTGAAAGCCTCGAAAAGCGCGGAGACCTACCCACATTACGTCAGCATATATTACGTAGTAATGCTTATGTCAGCCATTCAAACTCAAAAAAGAAATAAGTAAGAGCTTAGTCATGCACGACCCACTAGTTACCGTCAACTACTCTATGGGCATCCAGCAGCGCCTTTGAGCTCCTTGTGCCGGCGGGAGTAGACATTGAACGACCAGCCGTCGTCTGCTTGGTCTTATGCTGCGTTTCTTTAGATACCCTTGTGACCTTGTTTCCCCTGAATAGCACAATTTAAACGGGAGCACCCTCGCTTCACCGCGTTTTGAAGTCCTTATACCACACTATTATTGTTGAATTCCGTGTCCATCATATCAACCAATAAACTCAGGACTTTGCAACCCGACAACTTCGTGTTTCAACCCCTGAGATTCTTATTATATCCTACATCATGCTGGCTCCTGAGCGAAGTTGTCCTCGAGACTCATGTTTCCGCGAAATTGGGTGCTTCCGATTCAACCATAAAAGTATTGATGTGAGCAAGCTGGAAGTTGACGAGGTGAATGGGTTTAATCAATGTGCGGATACCTAAGGCGTTGTGGTCGCTGTGGCAAACCCCTTTCACATATAGACTGCATCGTCATCGCTGTTGACGGGGCTTGCTCCAACAATGGGACACTATATGCCCAAGCCAGCTTGGGCATCTACTTTGGTTCCAGGTACTCATTCAACATAAGCCTCGCGCTTGATATTGATGAGCCTACAAACCAGAAGGCGGAGCTCATGGCTGCCATCAAAGCACTCCAAATAGGAAAAGGCATATGTTCTAATGGAAGGTATGGCAAACCCATTGTCAATGTGACTATCAAGTCAGACTCAGAATACTTGGTAAGGGCAGCAAAGAGTGGATACCGAAATGAAAAAAAAAAAAAAATGGGATACACGAATGCCAAGGGAAAGCCCGTGGTTAATGGAGAATTTTTCAAGTGGCTTGATGAATGTATACTTGATCTCAATGCGGAGGGTGTGGCTGTCCACTTCTGGCACGTTGAGCGAGCCTACAACCGTCACGCAGACCGCCTCGCCAAACAAGCCGTGATTCCATAAAAAAAAAGGGAGGGAGGGGAAACAAAATTAACCCAGATTAGATTGAAAGGCGCAAAAAAAAGATCGCGTACACACAACCGTTCAACTGCCCTTTGGTATCTATCTGTTTTCGCAAGTCGGTTCCCCCAACTTAACTAAGTTCCTCTTCCACGGTTCCGTTCGTTATACCACCGCATTCCTAGGCCTTTCTTATACTTGACTCTGGTCTCTGACAATACTTCTGAATAGGTCTCTCATTTTTCCCTTGCGAAGGGAGTATATCGCATATCTTTTTTTATTTTTATTTTTTTTCCTTTGCATTCTCATATGAGCGGAATACTTGTTTGCAAAAGCGGCATATAATAGTTATCAAACCCTCGTGCTGGCTTTTACTGGCTTCTATCATTCTTTCTTTCCACTTAGCGGACACATGTCTTTGTCCCTCGTATTACTCCACCTCGTGCCTATCAGCTCTTATTTATAGAAATGAGATTTGATGTCTCTTGAGACCCATCACATATTACTTTCACGTGATCTAACATCAGCCCTGGAGGCGTCAGTCCCCTTTCCAATTTGGGGAAACAGGTTTTTGGAGATTCGAGGACTGAGAGTTGAGTGACAACTTCAGTCCAGCGTCAACCCGGCGTCAACAGCCCATCCACAACGCCTCTTTTCGTTGCCTCTCTGCTCACATCGGCGTACGGAGTACATAATCTGTTTCTTAGTCACCACCGTTAAGACAAGATGTCTAGTGCGCATCGAGGCGGTGCTAGGGGCGCTAGACGCACATCAATCCCATGCTGGAAATTCGAGCCTCAGAGAATGTACGGACAAGATGTCCAACCGTCCCTGATAGAGTTCCCAGTCGAAGACATGGTCTTCACCACCCGTGCGACTTCACTGTCCCGACGTTACTCGAAGCTGGAGCCTAATCTAAGATCGATTATCATCGCAGTTGACGGAGCATGTAGGGAGAATGGAGCGACCGCCCCCCGAGCTGCCATCGGGGTCTATGTGGGCAATAAATCTGACTACAACGCTTCTATGCAGCTCGATTCATCATGGGCAACCAACCAAAAGGCGGAATTGGCGGCAGGCATTTATGGACTCGATGCCGCCAGGGAGATCAATGATTACGGTGTCGATGGAGAATCACTGACCGAAGTTATAATCAAAACGGACTCTGCATACATGGTCAACGGGCTGACCCAGTGGGTTGACAGGTGGGAAGCAAACGGCTACATCAACGCGGACGGCCAGCAGGTTACCAACCATTACCTGTTCAAGGAACTCTCCTGGCGCGTTCGTGAGCTTGCCGAATTCCATGTCAAGGTGTACTTCTGGAACGTCCGCAGAGAACACAATCGGGAAGCGGACCAGCTGGCAAGGGATGCTTTGGCACGCTGAATCTCGTCGACCAGCAAGTCATCTAACATAACCCATGCACATGCATGTGACCTTCAAACGACAGACCAATCATACCATGACAACTAGTTATCAAAAACCCAGAAGCTTTATATTTCCTCCTTGTTCCTCGGTTTGATATCGAGAGATATTACTCCAAATACAGCGCTTGACACACGGCGGCCCTTATCCAAGTATATTAACTAACCACTACGACGTTAACGATGCTAAACGAGTATTTCCCCTTGTTTTTTCCTTCTTTTTTACTGCTACTTGTCTTTTGACAAAGTAACTAGCCAGCAATCGCTGAAATTTTATGTCTGAATATGAAATGGATTATCTCTTTAGACAGTGACATTGCAACGTCGTATAAGGAGCGTTATGCGTTTTATCCTACGCTCATATTGATGAAGTTGCATAGTCTCCGTATTTCGTTGATTTACAAGCTTGTCAGGTATTCCATTTCATCCACCGTTATATCCTTGTATGCGTGAAAAAACTACCCTTTGGTATCAGCGTCTGATGCTCTGATACCAAGTCCCAGAGCCGCCTTCCTTTGGGCGCGATGGTTCCTTTTGGGAATGGCTGTTGTTGATAACCTCACGACAACATTTCAATCCCAAGCTTGAGCTTCACCACTAGCCCAGGCCGTCAACTACGTTTCTCACTGTACCTAGACGCCACGTAGACGACAAAAGGCTCATTGCAAGATGACTCTTGACAACTCACCATACTACGGACTGGGTGATCGTGCCCAGGGTCAACCTCGCGATAACACGCAACCACTGGTTATATCTGTCGATGGAGCATGCAGGGGAAACGGACGAGAACACCGTGATGCTGCTGCAGGTGTATTCGTTGACCAGGGATCGAGATTTAACGAAAGCATTCCCCTGAGCCTGGATAATCCCAGCAACCAAAAAGCGGAGATACTTGCTGGAATCCATGGTCTTAACATGGAAGGCACGAGAAATGGACGGAGGTTCCTCTCGCCATATAACCATCAGATCTGACTCTGAGTACATGGTCAAAGGCGTCAACGAATGGAGTCGTAGGTGGGAGTCAAATGGATACCGGACTGCCAATGGCCAGTCAGTGGTTAATAGAGAGCTCTTCCAACAACTTAGTTCAGCAAGAGACTCTCTGGAACGATCCGGTATAAAAGTCGAATTTCAGCATGTTCCGAGAGAGGAAAACCGTGACGCTGATCACTGGGCCAACCGAGCGTTTGATAATTATTACAACGGTAGTCAGGATTGTGGTTATTATGAATCTGAAGAAGATTGGTGAGTTCTACAAATCCAATACTTGATGAATAGTATATGCAAGGGGGAGATTTCTCTATCACTAAGGTTAAAGAGCAGATTTGTACTGGGCCAATTTGGTTAGAATTGATTTATTCGTCTTGTTATTGTGGCTAGTTATTCATTCTTGTGGGTAGCAACAGTGGGCCCTTAGGGTATCAACCTGAATCTTATACCAACGACGAGGAAGATTTTGAAGGCCCCCACACTTCTCCAGGAACTTTTATTGAGCTGGTGGATGCTCAAGGATTCTATGGTAACGATTTTTTATGACTACTGTCAAGATGGTTATTCCTTCGGTGAAACCACGGGTGATTACTACGATAATTCCTACGAAGGTTCCTACGGAGACTCGCCTGATGATTGCTATAATGATTGCTATGATGATTCCTACGGAGGTTCTTACGGAGACTCGCCTGACGATTGCTATGATTATTCCTACGATGATTACTAGAATTGATGGTCCAGAGTACGGAGTATGTGAACCAAAAAAGAGCCAATCTTATAGCATTACCTCCTTAAGTCCATACCTTACATTGTAAAGCAAGCATGATTGCATACAAACAACCTGCGTTTGAACGCTTGCTCCTAAAGGTCATCATAGCCCTACAAGTTTCAACAACTTGGGTTCTGATATTTATTCCGAAATTGTGGCAAAAGACAACAAACATTGACACTAAAAGCGAAACACAATTGACAATTGACAGGTAGTACATAGAAGCAATGACCTCAGGATAATTTCATTGCAGAAGGCCCATTTTGATCAAGTATCTGCAGTCTTACTCCTGCTACCCAGTAATCTCCAACGAGCCATCTCAAGAATGATCAATTGCCACCATTTAATCGCGGATGTGTGCCAGTTCATTCCACAGATCAAGTGCCACACAAAATGAAGACCCTCGGATTTCATCTATATCGCGCTTGGGTATTCTTCGGCCGCTTAGCTCATAAAGCAAAAGGGGAAGAGAGAGAGAAAATCGAACAACTCTCGCAAGCGTCAGATCGTGATTCAGAATGGGATACCGTCAGCGGGTCTAAAGCCGAAGACTCTCGTTCATCTGAGGACAGCTTCTGGCCAGAAGGATGGTTGAAACCAGCTCTTCACCGACTAAACGATGATGTTCTTTGCTATCTTGCCAATTCTATCCTGCCTCCTGACGATGCAGCGGCCTTTTCACTTACCTGTAGAGCAGCCTATAAAGCCACCAGTGGGAGAAGAATTCTACAAAGGCTCAACAAGGAGCCTGCCTTGTACCGTGCCAGATCTCTCGAGCACCTGGAATTGGACTTCCCGAAATACGTCCTTTGCTATGAATGCGGTAAATATCATGATCGGTTGCTACAGGGTTTTTTCGGCCTAACGCCCTGTGACCTTAACGGCATTCAACTGGACTATGCCCCGAACTTTCGGCGTCTGTACTATAGACAAATAAAAGAGCTTGCTAATCACTATAGATTAGGCCTTCGCTACAAACGAAATGAGCTTTATATGATACCCCAGACGCCCTATTTCAAGAGAGACATGGAAAGAAAGATCGCACATGCTGTACATATCAGGCCAAAGGCCATCAATAACGCAGGGAACTTCGAATTGATCTTCAGGAGAACCTCGTATGTGGAATACAAACATACTAGCAGGAAGTCGAGGCAAGAGGCAATATACGCTACCAGTTGCAGAAGCCACCATCTTTGGCCCGGCTTCAAGGAAGAGAAGCTAGCACGAGAAATGCTTCCACTATGCTATCGATGTGAGATGTGCGGTGCTGAGAGGCAATTCACTATTTCCTACTTAGCCTCAAAGCCTGGGTATGCGGTTATTCGCAGTACTATGTGGGAAAGCGTAGGACACTGAGAACTCAGGCTACGGGCGATGGGAGTGAGTCTGCTCCAACGGAAGTCCGGCAACCACTCACCAGTTTCTCAACATTAGCCAGTCAGAGTTGATTCACCAGCGTGCCTTTATTGAGGAGATGCCCGGTAATTTTATGCAGGGGTTTAACGATGAAGTTGTCCAGAAACTGACTTATTGAGACTGCGACCGTCCTTGTAAGGGGGTAGATCTCTTTAGTTTTATAACTAGCAACCCAGGTATAAGGAAATGAACACACTCGAGTAACTTTGATAGCATAGCTGCTGGTAGGAAAGCTCACTCATATCCTCTACTCGTATATAGATACCTCCTCCTCTTGAAGAACCTGCTTTAGCCCTCAAGATGGAACACAGAAATAAGACAAGACAGGGCTGCACAGGGGGAGGCGTTGGCAGGAGGGTTGGAAGTTGTTCCAAAACAGACCATTAGATATATATTGTAGTGGTTTAGATGGGTATATCCATGGCCAGCTTGATGTTGATATTCGGGACATGGAGCAGGATATCATGTAGGCATGAACCGGCCTCCATCGTCACCACCCCGAGCTGCTCTGCACATAACTAGCAAGCAGGGCAACAACAAAGACAGCGAGAACACCGAGCCATGCATGCCACCGTCGTATGTCTTCTGTCGAGATAAAAAAGCTGCGTCTACTCCGTATATATATGACTGAATAGTCTGCCGTTTCCACCTTAATAAGCGTGTTGCGTGGCCCCTTCGCCCATCACTACTTATCTCACTGCTTAACCTGCATAATTCCTTTTGCCAAACTTCCCGACGCACCTTTTTTTTTTCCCTCCCTTGCTCGATCGTGGTATATTTTAAAAGACAGCCAGACAAGTTCCTGACCTTGCCCCCTTTTACCCCGAGTACAGCCATCCAGAGGGTCGGAAAACAGTCTCATCTTGCTAATTGACCGTCTCCCTTCCGTGACAAATCCGCCCAAGGGACCGCCATTCGATACTGCCCTGGCGTCCAACGCGTTCGGCCAGAGCAACCTCCTACGGTCACGGCCGTTCGACTTCCATCGCTTCGTCGCTTTACAGGCTCATTCACTGTCCAGTGCCGTGCAGAAGATGGGCGAGCAAGAGAAGGCCAGGACCTCCGGCGAGATACAGCCTGGTGCTGCCGCTGGGCCGGCCATGGCCATGGAGATAGATGACAGAAAGGACGATAGCCAGACACTGCCGACCGTCAACCCGGCGGCGACGAAGAGCGAACCGCCCAAGCCTTCATTCCATCCGGCATTCTACGTGATGTAAGTTGCCTCTGCTCTGCTTGCGACCCCGAGTTTTATCTGTGGCAGAGTTGCGGTGGACGACGTGTGGTGCTGACGGTGAATCATGCAGCGCTTGGATTACGTTGAGTTCGGCGGTTATTCTGTTCAACAAGGACCTGCTCGATAAGAAGCAGAACAAATTCCGTAAGTCGTCTTGACATCCTTTTTCTTTGTTTTTACCCGGTTTAACCAGACTGCTGACCGTGTGATTATAGCATTCCGTACGTCTTTTTATTCTCCGCTGGTGAAATAGAGTTATCCTGACTCCCATATCAATAGCCGTCATCCTTACAACATGGCATCTTGCGTTTGCGGCCTTCATGACACAGGTACTAGCACGAACCACCAACCTCCTCGATGGACGGAAGAAGGTTAAGATGACTGGCCGTGTCTACCTCCGTGCTATAGTGCCAATTGGCTTCTTTTTCAGTCTGAGCTTGATCTGTGGAAACAAGACGTACCTCTATCTCAGCGTTGCCTTCATTCAGATGCTCAAGGTAGGTTTCCTACTATATACTAAAATCGCAACAAGATTATGATAAGCTAACGTTAGCCGTTTATAGGCCACTACCCCCGTTGCCGTGTTGCTCGTCACCTGGGCCCTCAGCATCTCTCCACCTAATATGAAAGTGCTTATGAATGTATCTTTCATCGTCATTGGTGTTATCATTGCCTCCTTCGGCGAGATCCACTTCGTCATGATCGGATTTATCTTCCAAATTGCAGGTATCGTCTTCGAAGCTACTCGTCTCGTCATGGTGCAGCAGCTCCTTAGCGCTGCTGAGTACAAGATGGACCCCTTGGTCTCGTTGTACTACTTCGCCCCAGTCTGTGCTGTCATGAACGGCGTGGTTGCATTGTTCATGGAGGTGCCAGACTTGACTATGGACCATATCTACAAGGCCGGTGTTATCACCCTCCTGGCCAACGCCATGGTTGCCTTCCTTCTCAACGTCTCCGTCGTTTTCCTGGTACGTATCTATATGCGCAAGGTTAATATTGATCTTTGTGTAATGCTAACGTGACATAAACAGATTGGTAAAACTTCTTCTCTTGTTTTGACCCTCTGCGGTGTCCTCAAGGATATTCTTCTCGTCACCATTTCTGCTTTGTGGTGGAAGACTCCCGTCACTCCTCTCCAGCTCTTCGGTTATACCATTGCCCTGGGTGGTCTGATCTACTACAAGCTCGGCGTCGAGAAGATGAAAGAGTACACCAACCAAGGTCTCCGCCAATGGGCAGAGTACTCCTCCACTCACCCGGCCAGAAGTCGCCTCATTCTCATTGGAATGGGCGTCCTCGTCCTCGTCATCCTCATGTTCCAGTTCGGAGGCTCCGTTGACCCCAAAGTTGTCAAGGGAATGCTTCCAGGCAAAGTCTCCGGGCAGTAAAAAGCCTTGTCTTCTCTCCGCGTTTTAGACTAAAAAGTGGAAAAGGGATCGATGGATACGTCGACTCCCTTTGTTTCAAAACCCATTTACGAACTGATTTCACTGCATCACAGGACACCGCGTGCTGTCTACTTTTCTTTTTCGCTGGTTTATTAATGGTACGATATGCACAAAAAGGACAGGAGGAAACCGAAGGCTTCTAGAAACTGAGAAGGGAAGATGTGCTTTTTTTTTTTTTTCATTCTTTTTCCCCCTTTACTTTTTAAGCTCTTGCTTCATTCTTGTTTGTACAACTTTACAACAAATGCCTTGTAATCATGTCTCCTTTCACCCGGGCAAGGCGACTGCTTTCACTACGTCCTGCTTTTCTTCTTTCTTACTTACTTCCCTTCACTATTTCTGCTCTTCTTATCCCATTCAAACACTAGACGCTGTTTCTTTCCAAAACCGCCTGCTTTTATTTATCTCTTCCTTTCTTCCTTCTCAGCTCTTTGTACACAAGCAACAAACAATGCAAACAAGAAATAAGCTCCTTCCATCAGTCATGAAAAAAGAAAGAATTTCTGGGCTACAGATAAGCTTACTAAGCGTTTAAACTTGCCCCAGATCGTCTTTGCTGACTAAGACAATGATCCATCGCGCTTCTCCTTTAAGCCCAGCCACTCCCGGCTGCAACGTCTTGGCCACAAGAGAATGCAGTTCTTGTTGGCTGTGACTCCGTCCTTGGCACTGAATAAGCTCACGAGTGTCGCTTCCCATTGGCTATCTAAGGCAACAGGGGGTGGGACCTGCTTCCTGCGGGTCTAATGCCGCGCATGGAAAGTACCACCGAGGTAGCTCCTTTCCGTATCTGGGGTTGTCCTTGCAAGGCTATTGCTGACTAAGCCCTTCTTCTTCTTCTTCGTCTTTCCCAACTTTCAACTTCTTTTCTCTCCAACTACAACCTACAACCTCAACGTCAAAATACCGACAGCTACCAACTGGCCCGCCTCCAACGTCTCAACGGTGGCTCGCTTAACTATTCTCCCCCCGTGGACCTCTCTGCCACGGCGCATCTCATTTTATGTTTCCTGCTCTTCTTAACGTCACTGCTCTCCTCGGCATCCCCCATCCTCATACCTCGCCAGCCTCTTCTCTCTACATTGCGCCTATTAATCCGGCGGATACCCACAAAGGAAGAAGAAGACAAAACGAAATAACTTTCTCTTTTCAATCTTGCAGATTTACTTATCAGCATTGTCTAGCAGCTTTCCCTTTCCGACATTTTTTTTTTTTAACAGTACTCTCCTCTTTTCTATTTAGATCAACCATGGGTCCATCTCTCTTCAACAACTACTTCAACGGACCAACCGTCGCCTTGCCTCCGCCCTCTCAGCTTCACCAGACCAATCAGCTTGCGCCTACCGACTCGATGAACCATTCGTTTGCCCATTCCGGCGGTTCCCGCTTTCCCCATCATGCTTCTGCTCATGCAGACGGTATTCAGTCTGGGCCACCCAAGTCCTTCATAGGCCGCCAGACGCCTTTGAATGCTACTCAGTATACTGCTGCACCGTCACGCAAACGATCGAGAGACGAATTCGACCTAGGCAATAATGACCACCATAATAACATTGCTGTTCAAAAGGCACTCACTCCACCAACCGTACTAGAAGAGGAACCAATCTACGGCGAAGGAATGGTCCTCATCAATCCAAAATCTGGACTAGCCGTCTCCGCATCCAGCCAGACAGGGACCTGGTATGAAGAGAAAGCAGAGGAGAAAGCAGTTAGCAACCGGATCTCCGTTCCTATCACCACTGACGTCAACCATGACCATATTAACCCTCTGCCCAGTCGGAAGACACAACGGCTCGACGCTACCGCTTCTGCTTACGATGACATAACCGCCTTGTCAATCGCCAACAAACTCCAATCGAACACGGATGACGTTTGCGGATCCGGATCTTCCCCCAAGGGGCCCGAAATGCCACATGTTGATGATGCTACTCGACTACTAGGTATCAGCTGGCAACGCATGGCTAACGATGACAAAGATATGGTTGCTGCCATCCGTGGTTGGGAGAAATACATCAACAACCACTTCTCCACACACCTACACGATGCCCAAATTATGCTTAAGCATCGTGGCTTGAATGTCTACCTTGTCTCCGCCCTTCCAAAAGGTCAGCATCAGAGCGACAGTGCCGCCCAGCGATACTTCTACCTTTTCGACGATAACCTTATTGAAGGCCAACTGGTCGGCAGGGACTGGCAGTCTTCAATTCGTAACCTTCAGTCTTCACCAATTGCCTTCGAAGCTGGCTCAGCAGTATTAAAAGCAGCTGAAAAGACGCCTGAACGGCAAGTGGAAGACAAGGGAATCCCGGTTGCTACCGGTGGCATGAACGGATGTATGATGGGAACAACAGGAACCTCAACCGGAACGGACATCCAGATGGAAATCGACTAGACGCCTCCAGCCACAACGCTACAGAGATGGACGCCATTCGAACGACTGACGATCGAACGATGTTGCGGATCAGCTAAACCGACTAACCCCGGATCGGCATGTGGAACGTATTTAAGGTGATGAAGCTGGTTTCTTTTGTCACTCAATGTTCTTTCTTCTTTCTATTTCCGCACATTTCGGTATTCTATCTATTCATCTATCTTGTTCTATTTTTTCGCCAGTCTCACATGGTTTCTATATCTTCCTTTTTTCATATCCCTTAAGTGTTGTTGACCAGCTGATCACTGGCTCTCTACCCGCCATTATTGATCCATACAACTCATGAGACGACCGCTGTAAAAACTACCAATGAAATACTGAGAACAAAATTAATTATTCTCCTAACATTCAGCTACTTGCCATTATATATTTCCGTGATTCTACTAGAGAAGTAAATGGGTTATAAGAACATATGAGTCTCGGTGGTTACGGCACAGGCGACGCTAATCAATTGCCAAACACCTGCAATTTCGCCGTACACCCCTGAAGATGCATCTCTATCCTTGACCATTCGATTAAATACCGTTAGAAATAATCATCATCATATCCTCCTTCACTCCCTTCGTCATAATAATTCCCGGCAAACGCAGCCTCGACACCATCGTCCTCCTCTTCCTCGTCGTCCTCCTCTTCATCCTCGTCATCGACATCCTCTGCCCCGGCAGGTAGCTCATCCTCTTCGGCATCTGGCAAATAGCCTAGAATCTCTTCGTTGGGGTCCGTGGGCTGCTGCTGCGACTTCAGCTTTCCCGGAGCCGGGGCTGGAGCCGTTGTCACCGTCGCTTCTACATCAGCTTTAGGTACCATTTGAAACGCTGACGGCTGTGTGATTTCCTTGGATGTAGGTTCAACAGCCGGTTTACTTGGGCTGGTCGAAGCTGGCACCACTGCCGGAGCAGCAGATTTCTTCATGGTAGATTTCACGGGTGTTCGGATCGGTTTCAGTAATTTCGACCTATTTCCTGACGCCCGTCCACCAAATATGCCTCCTCCTTCAGATGCGATGCTTGAGCCGCGAACACTTCGGCTGACGCTAACGCTGCGACTTCTGCTTCGGCGACTGGCGTCGCTTTCACTATCTTTCCTCTTGACTGTAATGATGCTCCCGGCTTCTTCATTGGCTGCCTCGTCATTGTCACCATACATCTGCTCGAAAAGCTGGTAGTTTATCTTCTTGCTGAATCCACGTCTTTCAAGCATGAGCCTCGTTGCTTCTGCTGGGGTCGAGGCGCGTGATCCAGCCACGGACTCACCGTCTGCATTCTTTGATTCTCTCGAAAGATATGTGACATCTCCTATACGGCCCTTGCGGCGTTTTCGTGGGCGATGGGCGCCAGATCTTGAAGGATCTGAGCCAGCTTCGGCAAGGGCTTTTCGGAGTGCTTTTGCTTGCTGTGTACGAAGGTAGTCTTTGTTTTCATGAACCCAGATTCGCTCTTTAATTTCTACTTCGGCGGGAGATAGAAGGCAGAATTGCACTTCCGGGTCGTCTTCAAATTCTAAGGGGCTAATTTCGACATCTGATGATACCGGTTGTTGTGGTTTAGGTGGAGTGGTAGAGTCGTCAGTATATGCATTTGGCTCGGTATCCTGATGGTCGGCATCTTTATCGCCGTCTTCGGTAGGTTTAGGTTGAGCTATCTCAGTATTGGTAGTATCTGTTGTTGGCTTGGCAGTGCTGTTGACAAGGTCGGAATTGGATGACAATAGGGCTGTCATCTCGTCTTCCAAAGCAGACTCCGAGGCCAGCTCGGATTCCGTAGGTTCAGGATAAGGAGCGCTTCTACTGCCCTTAGGCTTGGAACGTTTCCCGTCGTTTTGAAGACCATATTCGTTAACAGCACCGGAGTTTTCGGACGGCTCTTGCTGCTTATCGGAGGCTAGCAGAGCCGGATCAATGGGAATTTCGGGGATGGCGAATCCATCTGCGTCAACCCGAGGAGCTTTGGCCTGGACCACCCTGAGAGATACTTGATCCCGCCCAGCATCAGCTCCGGTTTCCACTTCAGCAGCTTTTCTTTTCTTGCCCTGTAATGCAGCCTTCTTGTCCTTGGAGTGCGAAAAAGAAGGTGGGTCATGACAGGTTTCTAACTGTACAGACCGGAACTCATCAACGGTAAGACCACCACTTTCTGTAGCTTTAAACTCGTTTAGGCGTTGGTGAATGGTTAGTTCCGTAACCTTGACGACATAAACTACCTCACGGACAGTACGGCGGAAGTTGTTCATTCGTGCAGCCAGGATGAGAGCAGCACCACATATGCCTGCTGGCCGTCTACCAGTAATCATCCAGTCACGGTTCATTCTCTGAACGATTCGGACGGCTTCACTGGCAACCTGCATCATGGCAGGGCCAAATTCTAGCTGTTTTGAGAATCGGTAGATCAAGCTTTCCGGGTCGATTGGATTCATGATGAAATGGTTCCCCCCCAGTTTCAGCTCGTCAAGTAGTGCTTTGTATGCTCTACCCAGTTTGAATACATTGATCTACAGCAGTGTTAGCTATGGGGGAAATACTGGAGATGGGGATACCCCCGCTTACCATAAGTACATCTGCAAAGTCAATTAACATGATTGTGTTTCCATCTTGACGCCGACATGCAATATAAAGAGCTACCGCAGCTACGGTCTTTGTTCGACGTCCCTGGATAAAGTTAAGCCCTACCGCAAGCTTGAATACTTGCCCTCCGGCTTTTGAGGCACTTTCTGGGATGTTCAAGGCCCGGGAGAGCTGCGCAATATATCGATTTCCTATACCATGTTAGATTCCTCAAGCCATTCGCACATACACCTAGAGGGACAGAGCTTACCGTTCTGCTCGGTTATTTCTCTACTTTCTATGCCACCACCACGCTGGAATCCAGGTCCAAAGCTGCGTCCATGACTCTGGTCTGCACCGACAAAGGTTCCTTGAACGATAGCAGCTCCTGACGAAGCTTCGCCGAATGTAACTTCTGAGACGATATTGGACTCGCTGATAACAGTACCACACCCGGCACAGACCTTCTGTCCGTCATCCTCTACTATGTTGGGATCAGGACAACTTGGGTTCGGACATTTTGATGTTTTGGGAGGTACGGTCGTATTTGATTTTTGTGTCTGCTGTTGCGGGTGCTGGTGCTGATGGTTCTGAGGGACATGGATAGACTGTGGACGTCGGATAGGAGTAGGATTAGGCCTTTTCAAGCTTGCTAGACGCTCGACTGGCGGCCGTCGAATCCCGGCCTTCCCTGGCGGAGGGAGACGGGGAGTTGGTTTAACACCAACCATAAGGGCCTGGTAATGGATGAACGCTATATATATACACGCCTGGTTCTTCGTAGGAGTCTATAGCTTGATTTTGGCTGTCCAGAGAATATATCAGCTCATGCTTGACAACGATGTAAGGAGATCTGACAGCCAGGAGCAAGAGGTATTTTTTTGTGTTGGACTCACCAAGGGGAAGAAATCCCCACTGGCGGGTAACAGGGGAGTGAGGCCTCGCAGCAGGATCTGTAAATGCGCCGTAAATCCCAGGATTGAAATCCCCCGTCCGGTGCCAACGGTCTATATCAAATTGTCAACGTCTGTCTCTTAAGTCGAAGTCGTCAGAAAATGCGCAAGGCCGGCGCAGCGTCTCTCGCCTCGCCGCCGCCCGCCCGCCTCGCTCCTTGTGGTGCAGCCGCTTGAGTCAGGCAGTCACGTGATGCTCTTTTTTTGCGCCTTTTGGTGGCGGAGGAGAGCTGTGGCGCTAGGCCTGATTGGGAAGCCATGACCACCCAAGTTCGATTCCGTGACAAGTTTAGCCTTTTTTTTTTTCCTTCTTGTTTTTCCTCCCCTGGTTTGATCTCTCGAGAACTGGCGGTGATGATTGTTGAAATATTAAATACTATCAGTCCATCGAAGAGCGGCTTTATTTTTGGAGGATGGAAGGAGAATTACCAGGGGTGGTTTGGGTGTTGCAGGTATAGTGCTTGGTCGACGGAAAGTGCAAGCTGCAGGGCGAGACGTCAACCAGTTCAGCGTGACTGAAAGTGACGGGGAGACTCCCTGGATGCCACCGCCAGGCAGCCTGGACGAGCTACTCTGTACTCTGCCAACATCTGCTCTGCACAACTGGGTCCAGAGGGAGAAGCTCAGCAGAGAAGTTTCAAGATCAGCATGTCACAAGGGTAATCAGGCCGGATGATCCCAAGAACACAATTCCTGGATGGCGGTGGTGTTACATGCCTCCTCTCCAGGGACGGCTATGCTGTCAGACCTGCAGAGAGAGGTATAACCAAGGGGTCAGGACTCGATGTTAGTAAGGCCACCTGGATGCAGGCTACTGGGAGACAACACATTTTTTATATTAAATGAATGCTAGAAAGTCCGAAGCTATCCTGGTGCCAGTAAACACGCCAAGGAAGGGACATCCATCAGATTTCGTCCACTCCCTCGAAGGCTCGTTCAAGATGTAATGGGACATATGTACGGGGTCCTAGAGACCAGTTGGATATTCTTCAAGTGGGATAGAAACTACTGGCTGGCTCGCGGGATAACGGCAGTAGCGGTGCCGTGAGGAACTCGTTCTTCCATATCCCGAGGGTGAAGAAGACACCGAAGAGACCAGAGAGAACAAGCAACAGGACCGGCCTTGAGCGGCAGAGCCAAAGAGTAGGCCTTTGACTGCCAGGATTGAGGGTGTCATCGCATAGAAAGAATGTATGATTTGTCCATTAAACCAAGCCGTCGATGCGGGTGATGACGATGCAGCAGCAACAGTCTATCCCGATTCCCCGGAAGTATGAATAATGGCAGGTAAGTGCATCAAGCACACGAACAATGGGTAACAATAGCTGGTCTCGATTCTGCTGGTGGACTGATATCAACGTACGGAGTATATACGGTCGTAAACCAACCACCTTGGCCGGATAATGGTGATGGTCGACAATGGCTCAATTCCCATGCAGAAGATTCAATCCTTCGTCCTTGGTATGGCCGTGCTCACAGTAACTAGCATCTCGGACGGCGCACCGGGTGCAGCTTGCAGGATATAGGCCGTATGATGTGTTGTTCTTCGCCTGTAGACAAGCGTATCCCATCTCTGGCCTGACGTCTAAAAGAAACCCCTGCCAGCCAGCGTATGCAAAAAGCCAGATAAATAATTAGAATCGCGGCTGAAAAGTCCTTTCCTGGTATCATTCTGCGTAATTCTCACGCCAAAAGGTACATCCGCGAGACCTGGCGTTTTGCTCCAACCGCTTGGATAGTTTCAACTATCGAAAATCATCAACACTGTCGTCTCCCTGGACCATATGCGAGTCAGAAGCGACATCCCAGTCCTGCACTCCTCTCTCGTGTTTTCTAAACGGCTTCTCTGGGGCTCCATTGGGTCCACGATGGATGCCGTTTGCTGTGCCAAACCCTTAGCCCTTCACCCGCTCCATTCAACACCGCGCGATTTGTGCATCCGGCAAATTTCTGCATCGTATCCCATCGCCTCATGGCAGTCTCCGTAATTCTCGAGTGTGTCTCGTTTAGCTAGCTGACTGGCTAGCAGGAGATGATGAAATCACTATGACAAGAAGAATGTTGATTTCAAACCACTGTCGAAATGGGGTTAAATACTGCGAAAAACGCTCGACGTCGAGCTGGGAGATTTCTTGGTTCGAACATCTTCTCTTCCCTTCTACTCTGCCTGACGCCGATTAGCTATATATGGCCTGATGACACCACAGTTTTGCCATCCCAGATTCAATCGAGCAACCGAATACCTTGGTATATCATCTCCATCAAGCAAAGTCACGCTGTTTGACTCTACCCTCTTGTTCTGGTTGCAGCTGCCGCTACCACTGAACCGTCTATCACCATGGCAGACACCAACAAGACTACATCCTCATGCTGCCGCTCTGGCTCTCCAAAGCTGCCTATTCCCAGGATAAAGATACCCTCAGAGGACCTCAAGACCACCCTGCTTGTCAATAACATACACTGTGCCTCCTGTGTGGCCTACGCAAAGGAAGTCCTGCATGGTCTCCCAGACATCAAAGCCGTCGAGATCACCATTCTCGCGCACGAAGTTACAGTCCTTCATGGCTCCGAAACAAATACCTCGGATCTAGTCAAGGCTCTCTCGGATGCTGCGTTTGAAGTATACCACGCTGATACCTATAATGAGTCCGGCGTCAAAGTCGGGGACCTGGACACTTCCTCGTCAGTGGGTAGTACATGGTTGGAGTCTGGTATCCTCAACTCTCCTCAGTCCCGAAAGGTACTAGGGAGGCTGCGGTCTGTTTCTCCCGATACTCGAAGGACGCATCATATCGAAAACTGCCTGGTCTGCAGAGAGGAATTTGGTGCTGGATCCAGTCAGACTCATAAGGGAGACCAATTAGAAGTACCCCCTCCGACCCAATGCGGCGTTATTTCTGCGGTAGAGGCGCCGAGACGAACACTAAACCCGCAATTATCCAGGCCTATACCTCGATCAGCAGCCACTTCCCCGGCAGTCCCGCCATCCTCAAAAGATGTGGCAAAACCACCGCCGAGCACTGGCGATGAGATATTCGAAGCTCAGTTGAGCATTGGTGGAATGACATGCGCATCTTGTGCCAATGCGGTCACAAGTGAAATTAAATCTTCAAGTCACGTTGTCTCGGCTACCGTTAGCCTCCTTACAAATACTGCTGAAGTCGCATTCCGCGGCCCAAAAGAAAATATTGAGAACATCGCAACCCAGGTCAAAGATATCGGTTTCGAGGCATCGGTAGAGAAGGTTTATCCTAAAAAGAGTTGTCTCGAGGATGCTTATGTCGCAAATGTGAGCATCAAGGGTATGACCTGTAGCTCCTGTGTGGGGTCTGTTACTAGGGCACTGGACTCCTGCCCTCACATTACCAATGCTACTATAAATCTCCTGGGAAACTCAGGGAGGATAGAATTCCAGGGGAAGGAGAACCTGGAGGATATCATGTCCAGAATTGATGACTTGGGGTTTGAAGCTGCCATTGTGGATTGCAAGCCCATCGGCAATGACTCTTCCACTGCCGATGAGAAAATAAAGAAGAGAACTATCCAGATTAAAGTCGAGGGCATGTTTTGTCCACATTGCCCTCAAAGGATTCTCGATGTCCTCAGAAGAATTCCGGAGGGAGCAGTGACAGTTATTGAGGAACTCACCTTAGAAGAGCCAATTCTCACTCTTTCATATACCCCAAACTCTCCAACGCTTACAATACGAAATATCATTGCTACTATTGATGGTGCGAATGAAGTCTTTACAGCGAGTGTGTACCACCCGCCTACCATCGAGGACCGCTCTCGAGCTATGCAAATGCATGAACAAAAACGGCTTCTCCTTCGGCTTCTTTTCACTTTCATTGTTGGTATTCCCGAATTCCTCATTGGTATATTATGGATGTCAATAGTTTCAAAATCAAACAGTATTCGAAGGTATCTCGAGGAACCCATGTGGGTTGGCTCAGTTTCTCGCGCAGAATGGGCTCTTTTCATCCTCACCACTCCCGTCATGTTTTTCGGTACAGATGTATTCCATGCTCGTGCTTTCAAAGAGATTCGGGCTTTATGGAGACCGGGGAGCCGCGTCCCTATACTCAGACGATTCTACAGATTTGGTAGCATGAACATGCTCATTTCTGCTGGGACAATGGTTGCATATTTCGCCTCCTTGGCTGTCCTTATTTTGAAGTCCCGTATACCTGCCAAGGGGCACGAGTCAGGAGAGATAGTAACCTACTTTGATACGGTCGTCTTTCTAACGCTCTTTATTCTGGTTGGTCGTGCTCTTGAGGCATACAGCAAAGCAAAGACCGGTGATGCAGTCGCCATGCTGGGCAAACTTCGACCCTCTGATGCCATCCTGGTTCTTGACCACGTTCTTTCTGGCCAGCCTGACCCAAATCATAGCTCAATTCAACGTGTTCCTGTTGATCTGATAGACATTGGTGACATTGTCGTGATTCCCCATGGAGGATCCCCTCCTGCTGATGGAAATGTAACCGGGACTGACTCCTACAAGTTCGATGAAAGCTCTCTTACTGGAGAATCGATGCCAGCTACAAAATCCAAAGGAGACAAAGTTTTCTCAGGCTCAGTCAATGTTGGACGACCGGTATCAATTGAGATTACTGATCTAGGGAGCACATCTATGCTTGACCAAATAGTGGCGGTGGTACGGGAAGGTCAGGCAAAAAGGGCACCAGTGGAACGTATTGCTGATGCTATAACCGGATACTTCGTGCCTATGATTACTTTGATTGCTATATTAACATTCATAGTTTGGCTTAGTTTGGGACAATCCGGAGTTCTTCCTCCTGACTTTCTAGATTCAGAACAAGGAGGTTGGCCTTTCTGGAGCTTGCAGTTTGCCATTGCTGTCTTTGTTGTCGCATGCCCATGCGGCCTCGCCCTTGCCGCTCCAACGGCCCTTTTCGTCGGCGGGGGATTGGCTGCAAAAGGAGGTATCCTTGTAAGGGGTGGGGGAGAAGCATTCCAGGAAGCAAGCCGATTGGATTCCATCGTTTTTGACAAGACCGGAACACTCACCGAGGGTGGTGCTCTCAAGGTGTCTGACCATGAAGTAC